TCCCCCCACTCATCTCATGTGTGGCTGAGCAGGAAGAAGACCACGCAGAAGCATAGGACCCCCTCATCCAGGTCATTGGCGTAGCAGATCATCAGCTTGACGGTGTCTTAGCGTAGCTGTTGAGCATCTGGAGGTGGTGGTATGGTGGTGATGATGCATCTTTAGATGCCAAGTGCTTGACTGGAGCCCTGGCATGCCCTCGTAGCAAGCAGCAGTGCCGGTGACAGGTCCCAGCGCTGGCAGAAAGTTGCTTATTGAAAGCATCTTCAAAGTGAAAAGGACGGGCACTTATCTCCTAACCATCCCGTGGGGAGCAGCGTGGTTTCTGGTGGGAAGCAGGCCAGAGTTGCGTCTGCTGGTTTCGAGCAGCTGCAGATTTATTTATAATGCCGTGGGTAGCATGTGAATCTGCAGATAAACACGCGGGAGGGAAGAACACAAACAACAATATTGAGAAAATGCTGCTCCGGAGAGAGAATTTCACTGAGCTGCAGCTATCACCAGCCACCAGAGATGGGCCAGGGGCCAGACACCCACCCCTGCCGCTCCCACGCGGCTTTGCTCCATGTTGTGACTGTCATTGCCAGGGAGCTGCTCTGTCCTGGATATCGGGGGGGGTCTTTATGGGGCTGCCGTGGCACCAGCCCCTCACCCTGTTATTTGGCACTAGCTAAACCATCAGGATGGCACCATGAAAGCATCAGCTGTGACAGTGAATGAAGCTACCTATTTTGCTAGTTGAAAGAGTCACCTTCTCTTCTCCGTGGTTGGCCGGACACTTAACAGTTGGAATTAGGGTTTCCCATCCAGAATTTGGTCCATCTTTGTTGTCCCCGGTGGAGGAATTGGTCCTGTTGAGTGCCTGGGCCAGGTTATGAGCATGGGGCAGCCTGTGGGGTAGGATCAGGAGATCTGCTGGATGAGGTATGGCCGTGGGAGCCCACCACAGGTCACTGTGGGTGCAGAGGTTGCAAGGGGCTGAGCATTCTGAGGGCAGCCCCACCGGGGCTGCTACAGGTGGAGGAGCTGCCTCTGAAGGACGGGGGGTTCCCATTCCTTGGGGTTTATCGCACCTTGTGTGGGGCTTGCACCCGTAGCGGAGGCTGGAGTCACCCATCCAGAGATGTCCATGAGTATTTCCTCAGTTATCATACCTTGATGGCCAGAAGGAACCAAGGCGACCTTCTGCCAAGTGTGTGCTCCCGCAACACACGTTTCTCCAGCCCCTGGCTCATCTGGGATGGGGAAGGATGCAAACAGTGTAAGATCTGCACCTCTCAGCAATTACTCTTCAGGGGCAATTACCATCCCTGGTAAAACTGAGTCTTGTTTTCCACGTGTCTTACTGGGTTCAGCTCCCAGGCAAAGCTGTAGCTGCAATGTCCCTCACAGGCTAAGGAGCTCTGTTTGCTTCTATTTTCTTCTGGTGTAGATCCTTGCAGACCACAGTCAGTCATCTTGCAAACTCCAGACTGAGCTTCTGCAGTTCCCCTGCAGCAATAAAAACCCATCCAGCTGCAGGAGGAATAGAACCCTGGCGATTCTGAGCCTTTCTCTTGTGTGGCTGAGGTGGGTGGTAAGGCCTTGTCTTCCTTTTTTAAACCTTCCTGGTTTATTGGTTGCTGGTCCAGAGTCTGCTCTAGCACTTTTATGATGGGATGGCAGGGCAGGGCTTGGCTGTATCTTCATGGGGCCTTCCTCCCACTGCAGTCTGCCCACCGCTGCATATTACTGTGGAGATCTGAGCAGGTCTGTGCCTGGGAGAGAGGCAGAGAGAAGCCCCCGCAGGTGGGGGGATATGTTGGTTCATTGGGTATCACTCCTGATTTTGTTTGCTGGAGATATGAATTAGGGCGCTTCTTTTGTCTGGAAATGGGAAACTTCTCAGGTATGAGACAGTGATCTTGCCTGCAGGATCACATGGCCTCCTCAACCTCAGGTGGAAGTTCAGGGGTGCTTCCTGGCCAGGTATACGGGCAAGATAACTGTGGCAGGCTGTTATTTGGCCAAAAAGATGTTCTGAAGTCAGCCCTCAACGGAGAATGGAGCAAACCCACCACCACCACCATTGAAACCTATCCTGGCTGGCCTCTCATCCACCTTTGCAGTCAGTGAGGCTAACCAGGTTCACTCTGATTCATGGGGACCAGTTATTCACAATTTTCTGTAATTCAGGCAACTACTGCTAAGTGCTAACATGCCAACCCATCTCCAAGTGGACTTCAGCCAGGGCAGCAATTTGGTGTAAAAGCTGTGCAAAAAGGGGCGCATTGGGATGATAAAGCTGTGTGCAATGGGAATCACAGTCCACCCTACACAAAAAAGGTTGATAAACAGGAGCCTCAAAGAAAGGAACCTGTTTTAGGGTGGAAGAATAAGGAAGCTTATCTAATTTAGTTATCTTGGAGATGATTCATTTGCCACCCTGAAGCACCACAAGAGGGAAAGAAGGTTTTGGATAGCAGAGTCTTTGTACAAGTAAAAGGAAATCTAATAGCTGGCAGCCAAACAGTGTAAATTCAGACTAAAAGTAATGGGAGATCTTTTTTTTTTTATGAGAATATAATTGACCATTGGAAGAACTGCTTAAAACCTGCAGATTTCTACTCCTTGTCTTGTGTCAAAACAAGATGTCCTTGGGCCGGCTGTGGTAGATGTGTAGCTCCAAGGAGATGTACAATTCTTCAGCTGAGGATGAGGGGCAGCGGTGAGGGCTGTGGCAGTGTGCTCTGCAGTAATGAAACAGGCACATTTCCATTCCACTGACTTTTCATTAAATAAAAGGCTTTTTAAAATGCAAAATACTTCAAAATATTTTTATTTGGGAAATTATTTATACTGTTTTAGAGTATATCTTCTTTTACATTATAGTCACTACTGTTAATATACTTACTATGCACCACTGTCATTGATAGTTAAGATAAAGTAACGAATTTAAGGTTTTATTAAAGTAATGCAGCTTCTAGCTAGTACTGGCTGAAAAATGTTGTTTTCTTTTCAGATCAAAGTGCCACTTGTGTTTTAATGAAAAAGCCAGATCTTCTGATAAAATAAACACTATTATCAAACTACGTAAACAAATATTAATTTTAAAAGAAATTTCATAAATCTGAATGACAACATTTCTGAACTAGCTGTTTTCCAGAACTCTTCTTAGTGAGAAAATTTAAAAAGAACTATTTTTGCTTTTCACTCTTGGAATAATACCAGATTTTGAAATCCTGGTTTCCTGTGAACTGGAAACCGCTGGCTCTAACCAGGAGTAATGAACAACCCACAGTCTGAAAATGATTTACTGCCAGAAGTAGGTGCAAGGAGCATATCTGTGCCGAGGGACTTTTTGGCTTACCGATGGGAAAAGAGGAGTTCATGTGTGCTGTTGGGCAGGCTGAACAGTAGTCATTTCTGCACCCAGGCTTGTCTCTTAAATGATGGGTCTGCTCAAGGCTGAGCTTTTCTTCTTTTGTTTTTGTTCAACAAAGTGAAAGTGGAGGGTGTGGAGATGCTTTTGGGAGATTCGTGGCAGAATCTTCTGGTGGTGAGGAGCAGCAGCAGGACACGGTTACAGCCAGTAACTCTCCATCCCTGTTGGGCTCGTGGGAACTGGCACTGTTTCTTGGGTTATAGGATGGTGGCTGGAGATCTCAACTCTATTGAGGTTCTCCTGGTTGATCACTCTCAGAGAGCTGACGCAGAGTAGATGTACATCTTGTGCATAAGATGCTTTCATTTGAGAGCTGCAGAGCCCTAAAGATGGAATGTTTCCCTGCCGGTCCTGCGTTAACTGGGAGGGCATGGAAAGTGAAGCTGCAAGCCAGATTTCATGTTTTTGTCTTGCATGTGTGTTTGATGGATGTTTTTTCCAGCATCCTTGCAAATGCAGCTGGTATCCTGAGTGTACATGCTGAAATCAGGAACAAATTCACATTCTCCCTACAGAGCAGAGGGATATAACTCCTTCTGTGGGCCACAGAGTCACAGGCCATATGCTGGCCTGTACAGCCTTTCCCACAAGCATCATGCTTTTCCTATGCCCAACCTCAGCGTGCTGAAACCTTTGGGCGCGATTTCCTAAACACGGGAATATTGTCCTATTTTCTTAAAGTGTCAGCATTGGGCACAGTGCAGAAAAATACCCATGTTGCAATGAGCATGCAACCACAGACCTGGAGGATGGACTCAGATTGTGGAAACCACTCATGGAAGTCTCTGTCCATGATGTTTCTGATGGGGCCATCTGGCAAATTCCTGTGGTGGGTGGGGAATACCTACACACATTAGCCCAATTACTGGGGTGCCATAGCATGAGCAGCCCTTCTCATAAGTGTAGGTAGACCAACCTATAGCTATTTGGGATGAAAAAAAACTCCAGTGCTGGAAGCATGACAAGCTGTAGAAAGGATGAGGAGTCTTTGCTGCCCACATGGCTTAGGGAGAATTCTCTGTGCTGACCAGCAGTAGCATTGCCTGACCTATTTCACCCAAATCACTTGGAAAACCAGCTTTAACATTGGTTTAATTTTTTAGTACTTTTAAGTCCTAAAAGTGCTTTTCCTTCCTGTGTGCTACTTCATTGCCAAGGATTCTGCCTACCATGCAAACTACTGAGAAAAAAATATCCCACTTTTGCAAAAGAAACAGGAAGGTGATGGAAGAAACCTTCTTTGGCTGGGCTTCTTGTCTGCAGCAGCAGAGCTGCTCAGGGCTGTGGTACTCTGATTCTGGATCTGGAGGATGAATGTCCAGCTGGACTGGTGGGTGGAAGAGCACGTGCCCCCATGCATTGCAGGAGACAGGGGGGCCAGGGAGCAATGGGCAATGAATGAGGAAGCAGATGGGTAGAGGGACTGATACCTGGCTCCTCCCCAGCTGAGAGCTGTCTAGAGGGCTTTGTGCAGGCTGGGCTCGATGGCTGGCTCATCTCCATCTCTTTCCCCTTTGCAAGCCCCAGGCTGTTCTCCGGACAGCTACTGACTCCTTGTTTCACCTTTCCCCTGCAGAGACACTGATGGACTCCACAACGGCAACGGCAGAGCTGGGCTGGACAGTGCATCCTCCATCAGGGGTGAGTTATCCTGTTGCTTGACAGGGGCCCGGGTCCTGGTCTGGGGTCTCCTGCTGCATGCGAGCATAGGTGGGTTGGCTCAACAGAAATTAGTCACTGAAGCAAAGTGCCTTGGCCACATGAAAAGTCTAGTGGGAAGAGTATGAAGTAGTTCTGTAGGAGGTGATGCTTCCAAAAAACACCCCAGTGCTGGAGGAGTATAATTCTCACCCTACAGCTTCAGGTCAGTGTGATGTTGGAGAAACCATACTCTCCGTAAAGCTGGCCTGGAGCCAGTTGAAAATCAGGGAGGGGTAGAAATGAAATGCCAAGGCCACAGTCATTTGTCCACAGTGTCTCACTTGTTACCCCATTGCCTGTCACTTGTAGCAGAAAAGGATGAGGGCATTAGCTTGTGAGGTTGCACCCACCGCAGCCCTTTGATCAAGTCCTGAAATGACTATCCAGCATCCCTGGCATCTCATGGAGGAACATTTTCTGGCTCATCAGTGTCTATCTCTCTGCTTTACTGTTGCCAAGAGTCCCCTGAGTCACATCCCAAGACCACCCACAACAAGCTCCTTTCAGGAAGAGCTTGGACACGGCAATGCATCTCTGCACCTTTCTCCTCACAACAAAAAAATGGAGTGGCCCCAGCCACCTCCATGACCCGTGGAGTTTGCGCGGGGCATCGAGGTGCTTCAGAGCATGCTGCCCAGCTCTGGCTGTGATGGCCAGCAGCAGCGTGGAGCCCCAGTTCCCAACACCCCCAGACATGCTCCCTCACGCTTGGGTGTCCCAATCCAGCCTGCCCAAGGTCTGGAGATGCTTCCCATCCCTGTGCACGGAGGTGGTAGCTCAGGCTCCATCCTGCCCTCCATCCATCCTCCGCAGGGACTGGATGAAGACATTTTTGTGGACCTCACCCTGAGGTTGACAGCAAGCCCCGTCCCCAAGCCGACTTGGCAGAAGAAAAGAAACGGCCAAGAAAAGCCTCTGTTGGAGAGATTAAATCCAGATCCCGAGCAGCCCAGCCGCCCTGCCGTGCTGGGATGCGGGCACTGCCGGCACCGGTCCCCCATCACCATGATAAAGCCCCGCGCCCGCCCGCGAGCCCAGCTGCCTCACCAGCACTGGCCCGGCTGCCGAAGGGGGATGACGGGTGCACAATAGGCAGGAGCAGAGGTCAAACCTTTTTCTCTCCTCGCCCAGCCTTTCTTGTTTGTGGTGTTTCCATATGTAAAGCACGCCTTGCTCCCGGCTTCCCAGCCCTGCCGGTAATGAGGCCTGGGCCTGCTGGAAGCCGTCTCCCTGTATTATTGTGCTGCCTTCTTCTTTTGAGCTCCCGGCACGTTAATTAGAGAGCGAGGAGAAAGGGAGAGGCTTCTAATTAAGCATCGAGGAAGCGCAGGGGCTGGTGCACGGGGGTGACTTTCTCTCCCAGCTGAGAAAAGGGAGCTCAGGAACCCCCGCTCACTGCTGCAGGGATGCAGGAGGATGCTGGGCATCCTGAGCCCTTGGGGTGCTCCCAGGGCCCCCATCCCTGTCAGGATGGAGACGCCTGTCTGGGAAGTCCAGCGCAGCCCTAGCATTGCTGGGGGGATTGCCTCCTGTCCCCACATCTGGGCAGGTCCCCGTGGGGGACGTGGTGTGCATCGTGCCCTGCACTGTGCATGGCACAGGTGCTGATGCTGCAGTGCCTTTATGGCTTCTTCCAGTGCAGCCTTGTGCCCACTGACAGGACAAGGCAGGGCATCCTACCCAGGGGTGACTGGCAAGGCTGGCTGCAGCCAGCTTCACCTGGAGGACAAAACCTGTGGGGTGCTTCACCCCTTTATTGCCTCTTTGGTGATTATTAGAGATCCAAAAGCCCAAACAGTTGCATTTTCCCTGGCTGTGGCTCTCTCACGCCTCTCGTAGGTGAACCCATGCCCTGCCTCCACTGTCTACTGTTCATCCCCAAGCTGTAAAGACTCTTCTTTCACCACATGCTGCTCCTGCCTGGCCAGGGCAGAGCTCTTCAGGCTCATGTCCAGAGCCCTCCCTGGGGGCCATGCAGGTGTGGATGGGAATGGGGCAATACTGGGCATCCCTGGGTTTTGGTGGCTGACACACCGTTTCAGAGTGTCAGGAGTGGTCCAGCTGAAGGAGAGCCATGAGAGGCAGGGGAGGGGAGGGAATTCCTTCCCTGTGCCTTGTCCTTGATTTCTTCATCCCCTCCCCACTGGTGCCCTAAAAACCAGGGAGACTTTGCAATTTTCCACTACAATGCCAAATTTATTTCTGGAAGATAAATCAAGTGCTCCCCCTGTGTTTTGTGAGGATGCTTTCCTCCTTCCCCAGCAGTGGCAGCAGATTTGCAGCCACTGCCAATCAGAAGTGGTTGGAGATGTTTGGGGATCTTTCCTGACAGCCTTCTCTTGGGCTGTTAGCCTTGATGTGCGAGCAGCAGCCTGTCTCTCATCTCGTGAGCCTCCCTCTGCAGTCCTGGATGCCCTTGTGAGGCCGTTTACAGGCCGAGGGGCTGGGGGTGGTCTGTTCCTGCAGGGTTTTCCCTGCGGACATCAGTCCTGGCTCTGGTGCTGGATTTGGGCTGTGCTGCTGCCCTGGCCTGGACGTTGTGCTCCTGCACCCAGGGCAGGGTTGTGCTCAGGGTTTCACATCCATGGGAATCAGCTCGGCTTCCTCTTGAGCAGGTTTATGAACAAGTTCATCAGAAGCTGTTCCAGCTGGCTGCGACTGTGTCACATGCTAGCTGGGCCCCAGTCCCTACCATGCACATCATGAGGGTGCTGTGGATGGGGAGGGGCAGCACAGGGGAGATACTCTGCCCTCTGGAAAGGTCTGGGCTGAGGGAGATGCTCTGATGAGCAGAGTGAAAGGTTTTCCTCCCACAGGGACCCTTTCCCATCTGTGCTCACTGCAGAGTGGTGGCTGGTTACAGGCTGCAGCTCTGCCCTTGCCTGGTGCATCACCCACCCTGAAGTCTCCTCATCCTGCAAAGGATGGAGACAGCAACGACCACTGAAGGATTTGGAAAACTACAGCCTGAGGAAATGGCAAGGAGCTGTACAGGTCCGGGAGGTGTTACAGCAGCCCTGAGCTCTGCAGAGACTCCTCCAGAGTTGTTAGTTGGCTGGGGGGAGCTGGGCTGAGCTTCCCATAGTGAAATATGTCAGCTCTGAGCTGCCTTGCTGAGAAGGGTGTTACTGTCGTGCCACAGCTCATAGGACATCCCATAGATCCAGTTTAGGACAGCTGGGGCTGAAACCTGTACACACTTGAAGGAGGGACCCTAAAGCATGTTGGCCCTTGAAAGGGCAGGGATGAGGGCTACCAGCAGGATCTAGCTCAGCGTCTCCCTTTCTGGGTGCGCAGCAGGGCCAGCCAAGCTCCCATAAGCCTTCCCTCTTGCCTCTGGGGAGAGGCCACTGGCTACTGGGCTGTTGTGCAGCCGGCCGCCTACACCAGTGCTCGGGCTGCAGCAGGCAAGGAGGTTTTACAGCCACGTTACACAGTCCTGAGAAAGTGGGTCCTGTCTGCCGCGTCTGTAACCGTAGTGGCACCGGTGGGAATACATCTGCTAAAGGCATTGTGTTACTTTGCCGGGAGGCTCTGCCGTACAGTGCAGCCCACGGGCAGGAGCCCCTGCTAAAGACATTACTGCCTGCAGAGAATGTGCATGGCCCCCCCCAACACCCTGCCACCCAGCAGAGCTGCTCTACCGTAAATCCGGGCATGGAACAAGGTTCTGCTGGCAGCGAGATGGCCCCAAGCTCTGCTGAGGGTTTGGACCACCTTGTCCCCACGGCACGGAGCCTGGCAGATGTGCTATGTTGGTCCAACCCTGCTAGAGCAGGATGGAGGTGTGTAGGTACGGGGTGCTTGCAGGGTGGTGCTGGAGCTGTGCCAGGGCAAGGTGCTGGGCACCGGTGGGGCTGCCTGTATGATGGGGTGAGCATGGTGTGGGGCAGCTGGTACTGCCCCCTTGACACGCAGTGGGGTTGGGAAGAGGCAAAGTGGGTGGGGAACATCAGTTTGGTGCAGACCCTTGACTTTCTGTGTCCCATCCGCAGTGGGAAGAGGTGAGCGGGTATGACGAGAACATGAACACGATTCGCACCTACCAGGTGTGCAACGTCTTTGAATCCAGCCAAAACAACTGGCTCCGGACCAAGTACATCCGGAGGAGAGGAGCACACCGCATCCATGTGGAGATGAAATTTTCTGTCCGGGACTGCAGCAGCATCCCTAATGTCCCAGGCTCCTGTAAGGAGACTTTTAATCTCTACTACTTTGAGTCTGACTTTGACTCAGCCACCAAGACTTTTCCTAACTGGATGGAGAACCCTTGGATGAAGGTGGACACAATTGCTGCCGATGAGAGCTTCTCACAGGTGGACCTAGGTGGACGGGTGATGAAGATTAACACTGAGGTGCGCAGTTTTGGGCCTGTCTCCAAGAATGGTTTCTACCTGGCCTTCCAGGACTACGGAGGCTGCATGTCCTTGATTGCTGTCCGTGTCTTCTACCGCAAGTGTCCCCGTGTGATCCAGAATGGGGCTGTTTTTCAAGAAACCCTCTCAGGAGCAGAGAGCACCTCGCTGGTGGCAGCCCGGGGGACATGCATCAGCAACGCAGAGGAGGTGGATGTGCCAATCAAGCTGTACTGCAACGGGGATGGCGAGTGGCTGGTGCCCATCGGCCGCTGCATGTGCCGGGCGGGCTATGAGTCAGTGGAAAATGGGACCGTCTGCAGAGGTAACCACTTGCCTTCGGTCTTGGTCCGGGCATTCGCCTCACTGCTGGGCGAGTGGTGGCAGTCGGGATTTGCAGCTGGGATCTGCACGAGTCTCCTGGGAGTGACCTCCTTGGGCAGGGGTGGGAGAGGACCATGTGGGGATGTGGGAGAGGAGCTTGTGTGTGAACGCTGACTCCTTCCCCAGCTCCTCAATTCCTGCTCCAGGCTCATCCATCCATTGCAGAGGTTCTGCGTTACCTGTGGGTCCCCAGAGCCACCAGCTCCAGGGGTGGTGGCCTGTTGCTGGTGCCCTCTGTGCTCTCCAGGTTTTGGAGGTACACACGTATGTAGTGCGTGCCACCGATCTGCAGTCACCTCCCAAAATACTGGGGCTGTTTTTACTTCGGTTTGCACCCTGTGCTTTGGCGTGGGCTGAAATGGTTCTGGGGTGAGGAGAGTGGCAGGGCAGGCACCCAAAGGTGATGTGGTGGGAGGGAGCAAGTTGTCTGCAGCATTTTCCTGGTGAGGTGCAAATGGCCCAGGGTGGGACATGGTCATGGGCTGTTCAGGGCCAGGCTCACCTCTCCAGCCTGGGCACCTCTGAGCCTGGCCCCAGAGCTCCCTCAGCAGCCAGAGGTCTCCTGCCCTGTACATGTTCTCCTGCCCCTGTTGATGTTCAAAGCAGATTCCTGGAGTGCCTGCTCAGCTCAGCTGAGCACCATGGAGCCAGCGTGGTCCCGGTCAAACAAGAGGCTCTGCACTACCCTTCCTGAGAGCATCATGCCCAAACCCATCTCTGTGCCCCTCCCCAGTCATGTATGGGCTTGGGGAGGTTGAGAAATTTACTGCTGGGGTTATTGAGAAAGAGATAGGGACCCGAGAGCTGCATGTTTTATGGGCGCCTGCAGCTGTACCATGCACAGAGCAAGCCATGACATTTGGCAGACGGACTCTTCTGCCCCCTGTCCTGACTGAACATCAAAATCCCATTACAGTTTTGATAGCATTGGCACACTCCAAGGAGAGCTGGGGTTTCTCTGAGATCAATTATAGATATATTGGTGGGCACTGCAGAGTGCAACGAAGGAGCTGCATCTCTTCTCTTTTAGCTGTGGGAAGGGGTGGCTGTGTAGCACCAAGCAGGCATGGGGTAGGTGCTGGTAGTGGGGAGATGGACACACTGGAGAGGAGGACAGAAGGTCTCTGGCCGTGCTAGGTTGGGACTGCAGGTTGGGTGGTCCCCTTGGAGAGGGCAGCATGTCTTCTGCCGGTGGCTGGGCTGCTCACGCATCAAGCTACAGGTCCTGATGTGCTGTGGGAGTCATTTAATGTCTGTGCTTTGAGCTATTTCTCAGTGGGCCACTGAACGTCTCTGACCACCACACTTGGGGTGATCAAGTGTCCTCCAGCTGTAGCAGGGATGGTACTGGGGACAGGGACAGCAAGGAAGTACAGCTGCAACACAGTATGGAAAGGGAGCCTGGCTAAGCCCAGCCTTGAAGGGGAGATGGGTGGTTTATGGTGCCCAAGTGAAGCATTCATAGCAACACCAGAAAGCCAAAATGATTTATGTCGGTTTTTCCATCTCAGCCTTTTTTTTTTTTTTTTTTTTTTTTTTTTAATGCCTGAGTAGACCCAGCCCTTCACAGTGAAGCTCTGATGCAGATACAGTTTCTCAGGCCTCCTTGGTCCCACTGCCAGCCCAGCCAAGGGATGGTCCCTTTGCGTGCCCCAGGGCTCTCAGGAACTTCCTGATGCAGAGCCTTGTCCCCGCAGCCTGGCCCGGCAGAGCTGGGAGGGGAGGCAGAGTGGGCAGGAATGGGGGGGCCGAGGTGGTAGGAGAGGCTGGGTCTTGTCTTTGTCTGTGCAGCAGCAGGATTTTGGGAGGTCCAGTACCTCGGCAGCTGTTTCTCTAGCCGGTGCTGGTGTGTGCCCAGCCCCACACTCCCCGCTGTCATTAATCACATGGTGGCCGGCAGCTCACCATCTCCGTGGGGCAGCTGGCTCCAGGGCTCTGCCTTCCCCTTCCTCTTCCTATTCCCCTTCCCCTTCCTGCATGTGGCTGCATGATGGGGAGCTGGATGGGACACCAGGGTTGTGCCAGACTGGGACACACCCTCTGTTTTCCCCCAGCAGCCCCCAGAAGAAGAGTAGGGACTGGGAGGAGAGCCAGCCACAGAGTTGGCAGGACATCTGTAGCATCCCCATCCTCTCCCAGCCCCCCCAGTGAGCCCCACAGAGGACTGGGGAAGGGGCTGGTCACCTTGGCTCACTCAGGCAGTGAAAAGGATCTTCTACCCACCTCAACTCAGGAAGGACCTGCAGGATGCAGCCCTGCACCCCTGCCCACCTCCTGTCGTGTCCTTGTCCCCAGTGCCCACAGAGGCAGCGTACAAACCGCCTGGTTTGGGGCACTCACTCGTACATGTGGCCAGCAGGTTTTCTCGTGTTTTGAGGGGTGGGAGGGAATCTGGGCCCCTTTCCAGAAGCAAAACAAAAGCAAATCCAAGCTGGTTTTTGAGGCAAAGTGCTCTCACACGATGCGCTTACCCAAACAAGACGTGGCAGGGAGCGTGGGGGACATGGCTCATTGGTCCTGCCTTGCCAGGGGTCCTGGTGGAAAAGGGCATCCATCCCAAGTGATGGACGGCCCCTTGGTGCAGCTGCAAGGTGCTGGAAGGAGTTGCTCATTTTCTCCACTGGGCTTTTTATCTGGCTAATACAGTGCAAGCCTGCTTACGGCATTGTACACAAGGGATCTTTATGGAGGAAGTTCATGCATCTAACAGCTTAAGCTCTTCTAAGCTTGCAGCCCCAGCACAAAAGGATTTGGGGGCAGTTAACAATTCTGTGTGGTTAAGAGATTTTCATTTTGCTGGGCCTTGCTCGCCAATCCCGCAGGGCCCTGCGAGGGGCTGGCTGCCCGTTCCTCTTCACTCTGCTCTTCCACTCGCTCCCCGGCTCCTTTCTGCTGCGCTGGCGAGGGGCTCCACGCACACACCTCCCCTCACTGCCTCCTCCCCCACCCCAGACGCCCAGCCCCATCCTCCCTGCTTCTCCGCTTCACCTTCTCCTGCTCCCCGCCTGTGTCTTTTTTCTCCATCTCCCTGTTCTTTGTCTGCTGCCTCCCCCCTTCTCCCCCGCCTGTCCCTCCCATGCAGCATATTAAGCGCATTTCTCTCTCTGCCTCCCTTATTCATTGGCTCCCCTCTGCAACGGCAGAGGCAGAACTATTGTGCTGCCTGCTTTCACTGTTTGGACTGGATGGTAGACAAACGCTGCCTGCAAGGGCCTCTGCCTGCTCAGGGATGGCAGCCACTGGATTCTGGTCCTGGCTATTAAACCCTCTGTCCATCTCCAGCTCCTGGCCACCTTTGGAGGACATCTGCCCATGCGCCTGATCACTGTATTTGCAGCAGACAGCCTCTTCTTTGTTGCACTCCTACATCATGGAGCAGTCCTGGTCTTGCCCTGGTAACAAGGGATGGTTTTGCCCTGCAGGAGCTGGTGGTGACAGTCTCTTGCTATCAGAGTCATGTGGCATCATCCCTTGGGGTCACAGGCATTTCTGAGGAGCAGAGGAGCTGGTGATGTACTGGGAGGAGGAGAAACCTGGTCACCTAGGGGGTCGGTAGAAGATCCAGGCTGCCACCTGTCTTTTCCAGCTCAAAGTGGAGCCAGGCCACTCCTGTGGGGAGCCTGAGGTCTCAACAGTGTGTCTTCTTTGGAGCTTGCACTGCTTTCCTCCTGCTTCTTCCCTGGAGGGCAGAGCCAGGGGGGAGGATGTGGGGGTCCCGACCCAGGTCCAGCACGCAGCACGGTGCTGGTGCTGTCTAGCCTCACCAACACCACAGCCCGGTTCCACCACCAGCCCAGCTGGATACTCCCAGGTCAGCTCCAGCACCGACTCAACCCGAGTCCAGCTCTAAGGGGAGAAGCGTGACCTCTGGGGTTATTGGTGCAGCTGGCTGATACACGGGGTGTCTCAGTCTGAGGCTGTATAGGGCAGGCTGGTAGCTTTTGGTAGGGCTGTGCCCTTGCAGGTAGGTGTCCCACAGGTGGGCTCTGTGACGAGCTTTCCCTGCCTGTGCTTACATGGTACTTTGAGGTTGCATGTAGCAGATCTGCCACCGTGTGCTGGGAATGTGGGTGCAGAGGCAGGTACACATGTGTCAAGGACCCAGAGCTGTTTCTCCATCATGGAGGTTTGGGAAACAGTGACGGTCTGTCCCAGCTGTGCTGTGCTTGGGTTTTGGAGGGGGGCAAGCAGCTTTCTGATATGCCAGAGAAGGGTATGTCCTAGCTGTCTTACAGTCATGTCCTAGAAGTACACGATGTTTTGAAGATAAGAGACTATTTATTACTCCATGCCTGTTTTGGGTCTGGGCCTCCGCTGATAGTGCCGGACCCAGCCAATAAATTGTAAGGCCCTAGGGATAATTAAGTTCTTACAGGAAGCATTCCTGGTTGAGCTGGAGCAGATACAGCCAATCGTGATGTAAATGTTTCCAGAGATGGAGACTTGCCCGTTAAATGCTTCCAGCGGTCGCTCCTGCCTTCTCACCCCTGGCTGCGCCTGGCCCTTGGACCTTGGTGAACTTTGTCCATCGCCACATCTCTGCTTTCCGTGTGCCTGTTTAAGAGTAATCTTTGGCACCCAGTCCTCTGGTAAAGTTTTCAGCCAGTTTTTTTGTCTCTTCCTGGCCCTTAGCCTTTCTGTTGGCAGATCCACCGTCCCATGTACAGGATGCTCATAGTGACTAGCTGAGGGCCAGGGGGGATGCTGAGATTTCTCTCTTCCTACATCCCCCCTTTGCTTTAATCATTTTGGCAATGACATTTCTCTGGGTGCTTTTGGTGGATCTTTGTCCTTCCTGGTGGGATTTGGAGCATACAACAGCGGTGGCCTGCATCCTTGTCCCTGGAAGTGTGATTTGGCGTGTTTGTACTGAAAGGCACATTCCTTGCTTGTGCCCTGCTCACCGAGGCATCCGGATTGCAGCGTATCAGGAACCCATCA